GTGACTTGCCTAGATCATATGGCCGCTAAGTGACTGAAACCAGGTCTTTCTGAGTTCCAAGTTGGGGGCCCAGCCCCTCAGCTATGTGGTTTCCTTAGCCCTCCGCATGGCTGGGTGTAAAGAAAGGATTTCATGTTTCTTCATGTGTACTGCTTCTGTTACTTGTAAATAACGGTGGTACTGCTACACATCCTCATCTCTTTTTCCGTAGAAATCTGAGTGTTTTTTGTGTCTGTTCTTCATGTTATCCTGACAACATCTCAGAGGTACCCAGAGGCATCATTGCCAACCCTCGTTACAGAGGGGGAGCCGGGAGGCACAGAGCAAGCATGCAGCTCCGGCTGCGGACCTCTCCAGATGTCTTGATTTCTTTGGCTCAGAGGCAACATGCCAGGTGCTATTCTGGGGCTACTACCCCAGTGGGAAATGGGCATCAAGTGGGAACCGGGAGGGGACCCGGTGGGGGTTCTTCTGAGTCAGCTCAGGTCCTGGCAGTGCTGAACAGCCCTGAGCCTTCTCCGTGTAAGCGAGCTCTGGACTCCCTACCAGGGCCGGGACTGTGGCCGCAGCATCCTGCTGTAATGCAGTAATGACAGGCTGCCAGGGAGTCCCGCCGCGGCCCGGGAGGGGAGAGGAGCCCTTGGCCTCTCTCAGCTGCCTGGGCTGTCTGAGACGGAGACGGAGAACACACAGACAGCTCGACTCTCTTCTTCAGACGCTCAAGAGATTAGATTAGACATGGTTGCAGCAATCTTCTCACCGATACCTTTCCCCCCAGAGTCCGGCTGCCAACTCATTGTTATACGTGGGTGGCTCCCGACCCGGTCCTCCAAAGCGAAGGCTTCTGGGGTGGGCAGCCCTGGGGACATCTGCCAGGTGCTCAGCTCAGGCGAGGACGACAGAAAAGGATGAAGTGCTGGCAGGAATGCCACTGAAGGACCTAATGGGGCCGGGCTGCAAATGCCACAATTAAACACCCAGGTCCGGCCTGCAGCTTTGGGCTTACAGCACGGCCAAAACAAACTAAAAACAAACCAAAAAAAGCAGAGGAGAATTCAACCTGTCTCCCAATACCCAAATATCAGTATTATTAATTCTTACCCCACTGAATGGAGCCCTTGGGATCTGTGAGAGCCTTACTATCTCTTGGGGGTCAGGAGTTGGCTTTCTAAAAAAAAGTCAGGTAAAAATATTGTCTGGACAGCTTCAAATGACCAGTATTTATAAAGTATTTTCTCTAGCTTGGACTACGTAGGAAATAAAACTATTTCCAATCACTGAAAATAACATAACCTACATTTAAGAAACGCAGCAGCTTCTGCACACCTGAAACTAACACATTGTAAATCAACTATACTTCAGCTAAAAAAAATAAACGCAGCAGTTTCATATTATTCATCTAACAAAAAGTTGAATTAGTTACTAATTCTATACATTTAAAACTAGCAAAATATTGTTTAAAAACTTCAAAATTCTCTAGTTTTACAACTTCATATCTTTCCAAAATATATAAAAAGCTGGTTATATTTAACTCAGACTCTTGGAAAGTTTTGTGTACTTTGATAGGCAGCCCTGTGGACCCTCAGAAGTCCTGAGAACACATTGTGCCACCTGAATCTCTATTTTAGGTTGCGTGATTTGGGATAGAATTATCCTATAGTAGTTTTGGTCTTAATAAAGGACTTTCGTTGACTAAAACAATAAAACCAGCAAAAAACCCCCAAAGCTCTGCAGTGGTAGTTCCCAACTCCTAGTGTGAATGGCATGTGGCCCTGTGACCACAGCGGGGCCTCATCTGTCCTGCAGGCTGTGCCTGGGCCCCCAGTGGCTCTGCATGCTGCCCACGCCCCGTCTTCCAGAGCAGGAGTGCCTGGAGCGATTGCCCAGTCTGGTGCCCTAGTTTTCAGGTCTAGAATTGAGGACAGGCGAGGGGTGTGGGAAGGATATGGAGAGACTGGGACCCAGTACAGGGCCTGCCTCACGGGAAGCACGAGGGGTGTCCTGGTGAAGGCACAGTCGCGGTGCTGTCGTCAGCCCGGAAAAGGGGACCCTTTCACCACCAAAGACGTGGGGCTGGAGCTGAGGTCCCGGACATCAGGGAGCCGCCACCCCCCAGCCCCAGTCACCACTTCAATGGCCAGAGCAACAAGCAAACTGAGGGAGCCCAAGACGAACTTTTTACAACTTAGAATTTTTATTAAAACAATCATTTAAATTACAACAACCCCCCAGAATAGAAAATAGCCTTCCCTGGTGTGGCCCTGACAGGAGGCCCCATAGGAAGAAGGATGGTTTGAAGTCTTTGAAAACGGTTGGATGGAGCTTCCCTGGAAGCCCAGATGGGCCAGCCTGGCCCCGGGGCGGCTGGGAGAGGCCATCTCCCTGCCAAGGCCGCCCCCTCCAGGGGCCTGCAGGCCCCAGCCCTGCCAGCAGGCGAAGCTTAGCCAGTCGCAGGTTGTTAGCCTCAGGACTTGTGGTTTTGATTTGAAAGAGAAAAGAAAGGGAGAGACAAACCTGTCTCCAAGACTACAGAACGCAATCACTCAGGAAGCGTTAAGTAGTGCCGCGGGGTGCTGTCCAGCAGGGCCCGGGGGGTGCGCGAATAACTGTGAGGACAGCACACAGGACAGAGCCGCTGGGGCTGAGGTGGAGCCTCAATCAGATCAACAAGGTGCCCTGTGTGGACCCGCCAGGGGCTGCCAGCGCAGCCTCGCTGAGTGTTACCAGCACGGTGCTTCTGCCCAAGGACCATCAGGAGCACTTCAAAGGAAACAATCCGGGCAGAGCCCTGCTCTCAATGGAGGTCGGGGGCTTCCTTACTTAATAAGACCTAAGCTCATTCCCTTACAAATCACACAGTCACCTCGGCCATTGGCACACGCCCTGAAAACCAAGCTCTGCTTTCATTCCTTCTTCCACTGGGGCTCAAGATATTTCTGAGGGCCGCCATCCTCTCCGCCTGTTCATCTCTGGGAGGTACCTGCCAGCTCTCGTCCCCAAGGAGAGCTGCCTTGTCCCTGCTGGAGCCAGGCTCTGCCGGCCCTCCAGAGTCTGCTCCCTCCACAGCTCAGATCCCAGCCGGCTCCCCTGTGGCTGCATGGCTCGGCATTTCCCAGACTTCAGACATACACACAGCAGTTAAATAATAAAAAAACAAAGCCTGACAACATTTTTATGAATGACCACCATGCTCTGTGCCCACAGCCACTGTTACAGACTAAATGTGCAGGTCAGGGATGGGTGGTGAGCCCGGGGAAACAGCCTCACAACTGTCAGACCTTACATTACAAACGCGGCCGCAGAAGCCCTGCCGGGACCGTGTCTCAGGGGAAGAGGCCTCGGAGGGACAGAGAGACACAAGGGAACCTTCCAGCTACAGCCATTCATGCTTAGTGTCCAGATTCGGAGTCCCACCCTGCATGTCCTGAGGGGCTGGGGGGACACATAGGGCTGGCTTACACCGTGCAAGGTGACCCAAGAAGGTGGCGGCAAGCCCAGGACACCACTAGGTCAGCTTGACCACAGAATTTGGCAGGATCTCTGCGAGCTTCTCAGTTTCTCAAAACCACACAGGATTGCCAGAGGCCACCTCTGCCCTCGGGAAATCTCCAGGCCCTCCCACGCCTTCATTTAATACACTTCTTTTCACTGGTTAGCACTTATTCCCGGCTCTGCACAGCAGCCTCATCGGAAGGATGTGAATGGCCTGGTGGGTCACAGCAGCCCCACCAGCCATGGAGGAAGAAAGGGCAGGAAAGCGGCCCCAAACCAAGGAGTGAGTATGGGCCATGGGGTGGCTTTGTGACCTGCTGCCACCCGGCATGGCCGGGGGTCGCGTGTCAGCAGGTGCAGAGCACTGACTGTGAGGGGTCACCTGCATCCCCTCCCTCACATGGTCCAGGGGAGAACATAAGGCGAAGGGCTCTCAAGGAGATGAGGGCAACAGCCAAGGAGGCCCAGGTACAGCCATGGGGGGGGAGAGCCTTGCTGGCGTGTGGCCGGGAGGAAAGACGATTCAGATCAACGAGGCAGACCGGGGCCAGTGGAACTGGGTGTCGGGGCCTCAGAGCCCTACAGAGACCCCGGTCATGGCTGGGCTGCCAGGTGCTGACTAGAGTGACGGGGAGCCCCCCCACCCCACCTGCCACGTGCAAGAGAGGCTACGGTTGGAGAGGGCCCCGCCTGCCTCCTGGACCCTGATCTGAGGTGGCAGAAGAAAGGCAGCGAGTGTTTTGTAGGGTGCAGGTTCCTACACGGCTCTGCTGGCCTCCCAGGCCCTCTGCTGGCAGCCAGCCCTTCATCACAGCTTCTGCCGGGTCTTCCCCCAGGCACAGCTGCCTTTCCCATTCCCCACCAGCTGGCAGCCAGAGCGCTACCACAGGGGTGCCTAGGCCGAGGACACATCGCCTGGCTCACTCTCCAATGACGTGTAGCAGGCAGGTTGCTGTGGGCCTGGGCTTGGGCGGCCACACTTCTTCCCATGCCAGTTCCTCACCAGTGAAGGAGATGAATTTTCTGGAACCCTGGGGGGGGGGATGCCACCAGTCTTCTGGTCTCCAGGGGGCCTGTGTACTTCACTTCCTACAGCCACTTCCCAGACAGGGCTGGGAGGTCAGCAGTGGACAGTAAGACACACACCCCAGGGTGCTTTGGACGAAGGAAGCACGGAATCCCACATTAGATAAGGAAAGACAAATACTCAAAAAAATTTAAAGACTCAGGTCAGGAGAACTAGAACCCCAAGAGAGATACTTCTGCAGGGTCATAGTTCAAGGCAATTGCACATGAAGGGGGCTGGGCTCTCCGCTCAGCCAGGAAAAGCTCCAGAGCTCCGAGGAAGCCCCCATCCAGCCCGCCTACGGACGGCTCCCTCGGTGTCAGGCCCATCCCATCGGTGCTGCAAGCAGAAGTGGCCAGTCCTCGGGTGGCTGGGTCACCTGCTAGAGCTCTTCAAAGAAGGCCACTCGGGACTTGGCGCTCTGCAGGGTGAGCTGCAAGGAAGCAGAGAAGAAAGTGAAAGGCGGGCTGGCTTTCAGCTCTTTCACAACAGGATGTCCTCCTGCCTCCCGGACTAAACTCAAAGGTGGCTGGGAGTGAAAGGGAAGATGGTTCAAGTAGATGTTCAAGAAGCTCATGGTCAATCCCAAGTAAGTTTCCAGATTTGCCCAGAAACTCAAATTAGGAGGTGACAAATGAGGACGTGCCAGGAGGGATGGCTGGTGGGCAGAAGCATGTCAGCAGGAAAATGTCATCAATGTCGCCTTTTCACAGAGGGCAGGGGAACCCTGGGCATTTTAATAGATTCTCACATCCCCGTCTACAAAGGAGTCTCTAACGATGCCTCTTGTTGTGCTGTCCGTGCTGGTCCCAGCCTGGGTGCTCATCCGCTTCAGGGCTCGAGGGCCAGCTCAGCAATGCAAGTGTCTCAGTCCTCATGCCCTGGGCACGCTGCTGGGGCAAGGAGACATGGCCTCGGGCAGGGCAGGCCTGTGTCAGGTGAGGAAGAGCTCATCCTTTCCACTCCTGGCTCCCCAGGTGGCCCCAAAGCAGACTTGCCCGTGACCTGGCAGCTGAGAGGGGGTTTCCATCCACAAACTGGGAGGCAACTGGCTTTCCAGGTAGGGCTGGTTTAGGCAGGGAGGGCGCAGCACATGGGGCGGTGCTCTGGGCGGAAACTGTGAGGCCTTCCCAGGAATGCTGTCCTGAGCGGCACAAGCTTGAGAAGACATGGAAGGGAGAGGGAGGATCGGCGGTGGAGCTCTCGGATTGGCAGATAAAGCACTAACTAGGGTTTGCGACCTCCCGGGCTGCCAAACCCCAATCCCCCAACTCGGGAGGCCCCTTCCCAGGATCTCCCCAAACAGAAGCATCTGGCATGGGCGCACCCCCACTTCCCTGCTTCCTGCTCTACTCCTGAAGTCAGTTACTTGGGTGAGACTGTGTGCTCCATATCCAGCTCTGGGATTTTGCTAAGGAGTGTTTTCAGGGAGGGGGGACACAGAGTGCGTACTGTTCATCTTCATACCCTCAAACCACTTAGCTTAGTGCTTTGCACAGAGCAGAAGCTCAGTTTGTTGAGTGAATAAGAGGTAGGTGATAACGATAACGAAATGGTGAGATGCAGGGGAAAGTCGAGAATTCCACCTGGGGCTGAGAAGGCCCAGGCGCTAATTCTCCGTCACCACCTCGCTGCGTAGCCTCAGTGGACACCCTTGGCCTCTCTGAGCCGCTTTTCTCTGGAGTTAAACCATGGGGCCAGGCTAGATGGTCTGGCCCATTCCCTCAACCTCTGGCAGTCCCTGAATCCAAAGAGAGCTTGGCTCTCCACAGGGTGGGGGAAGAAGACTCCAAACCAACCACTTCGCCATCAAAGACACGCAGCATCAGTACACTCAGAAGGAGACAGCTTGAGAGCCAGCTCTTTAAATCCTGCCAAATCTTTTGGCCTTGAAGTTCCTGACTAACAAGCTAAATGCAAGGAGACATCTGAGCTCTTTTTTTCAGTGGAACCAATTTCAGAAACCCTTTGGAAAGCCCAGCTCCAACGGGAGTGGAGAAACCTTTCATTTCTTTGCTGAAAAGGAACTCCCTCTAGAAGGACGGGTTTCTCCCTAAACACAAGCAGAGGAGATGGGCCGGGAGTTACGTGCTCTGTGATAATGGGAACAAGGATGGTAACTGGGGAAGAAAGAAAGACAGCCAGAGAGCCACCGGGACAAAAAGGCTCTTGGGGGAAAGTGAATCAAAAGGTGTGAAACCCCGTGTCTCCACTCGGGTTCCTCCCACACTCCCGGGGAGACCTCAGGCCGGCTCCTCAGGGTACAGGGGACCTGCAGGGGACGGGGCCTCTGCCGCAGCCCTTCCTTCCATACACTGAGTCACTCACAGGCACGGCCAGACTGCCCGACCCAAAGCCCATCTGGGCGGCTGGGTGGTCCTGGGCAGGTCACTGACTCCGTCTGGCCCCAGTTCCCACCGAGAAGCAGGGGTGGTGGCAGCCCCTGCCTCACAGGGTGGCGTGCGGAGGGACAGAAACTCTACAGAGCGCTTGGTGCCGTGCCTGGCGCGCGGTGAAACGCTACAGCTGGTGTTACTAACAGCAGTGTCACATCGCCCCTCCCCCAGCTCCGACTCCTCTCCTTCCAGGGGGAGCAGGGCAGAGGGCAGGTTCGGAGGGGTGAGGGCGAAGGCAGGGTTCACAGCCTCTGAGGCAGGGAGAGCAGATGCCCCCAAGAGGCCTGGCCTCTTCCCCAGGCACGGAGCCCGGGCTGTGGGGGCTTCCGAGAGCCTCCTGCCTGTTTGTACAATGATGGTTGCAAGAATTCCTGGATCCTCCTAGCGGAGCTGTGTGCTGGCTATATCCCCTCGAGGTGCCGGTGGAGGGTTTTGGCAGCTCTGGCAGCGCCAGACTCCAGTCACTTGAGCGTGTGCTTGTTGGGAGGCAAAGCCCTCTTCGGGTGGGCAACACACTGCCCTGGATCCCAGCCCGCACTGACCTCCTATCTCACAAGAGCAGCAGTCGCACCCCAGCCCAAGGAGAGGTGCGACGCGAGATCGAACACTGGCCGTGCAGAAGCAGGAGAGCACCCTGGACACGCAGCCTCGGCAAGAAGACAGTACCATGGTCTCCAGGCTGTTGGAGGGATGGGCAGAGCCACCAGACGGAGGTGGCGGACGTGGCTGCTGACACCAAGGGCACTGGAGCGTCCCACCTAGGCCCGCAGGCAGGCCTGGCTGCCCCGCCCCCGCCTTTCACCCTTTCTGTACAGTTTGTGGTGGTTCCAATTCCAACAGGAAGCCCGTCATCAGAGGATAATCCCGCACGAGCTGACTGGCGCAGCCGGAACCCTTCCTCTGCCTGCCCTACCTCCGCAGCGTCCCTCATCTCAGGCATCAGGACCTGCTCATGCTGGAGCACAGGCCAGGGAGCTGGGCAGTGAAGACGGTCCGTGGGGAGAAGCCTGGGCTTCTTTCTTCCACATGGGGACTCAAGCCCAGGGGCAGGGAGGTTCCCCCTCAGGCACTGCCAGCTGTGCTCCGGCCCGGCTCCGCCCCACACCCCAGCCCTCCCCTCACCTGTGGGATCCCTCACCACCTGCTCTTTCTAGAAAGCTCACTGACTGTCACATTGACAGTGTAGCCTCAGGCAGGAGGTATCCCTTAAGGAGGAGGGGAAGGCTTAGAGGAAACGGCACAAAGCTAGCCCTTCATAAAGGGAACGGCCTCTGCAGGTCGTCTTCATAGACTCCTGGAAATCGGCTCACAAGCATCCTGGATTCCCGCTACCCTCTCCTACCCCAAGGTGTACAAGCCACGTCAGCGTTCGGTACACCTTCCTGCTCAGGGACGGGCCTGGCTCTCCGCACAGCGTGGCAAAGGGACCACAGAGATGATCCGCCACCCTGGGCCTCGCACCCTGCGGTGCCACACGGTGAGAGCCAGAGTCAGCCGCAAGGCCCACCCACCACCCTGCAGCCCCTTTGGTGATCCAGCAACACCTGTCATCACCCCAGACCCACTGCTCGGGGGGCAGCACCTCCAGGACTGGGGCGGTGCCATGGGGGACTCCCCAGGTGCACAGAACGTGGCTCTACGACCACGCTGCCATGCTGGGCGGACTCCGAATTTCAGTAGGTGGTGAAGCAGAAAGGCCTCAGGACGCAGACAGACAAGCAGGGCCTCTTGGACAGTGGCTGCCTCATTCTGGGACCTGTCAAGTCTGGTCCACCTTCTCTGAATCCTTCTGAGGACACGTGGGTAGAGTTCTGCCCGAGCATGACTGGGGAGTCCAAAACTCCCCCTGGGTCCAGACAGAGGCGGCCAGGGAGTCCTGGCGGCCGCATCCAGCCCCTCCGGGAGCTCTGCACCCCACGTTCCTCTCACCAGTTCCCTGAAGATGACAAAAGAACATGAAGTTTCCTCACCAGGCACGGGACTGACCCGCTTCTCTCTTGCAGCTGTCTCCTCACATCTGATTAAAATCCGCCGTGTGAATAATACAGGAGGAATTAAGTTCTCTCTTGACTGAACCGGCTGTTCAAGTCTGTCACTAATCCAGCTCCATTCTGAGGAGACAAACTTCCTCTTCTTTCTCGGCTGCATATCTGTATGGTGTGGTTTTTGTCTTGGGGGGGCTCTGGTCCACCTGTGGCCTGGCCCCTTCTTCCTGCCCAGCCTTGATAGACACAGCCTGGCAGAGTTCCCCCACAGCCACCTCCCCATCACACTGCCCCGTTGTTTGTGACGGCCACCAGGCTGTGCAAGGGCAGGACGGGGAGCCTCCTGGCAGGGCGATACCTCTTCACACCACCCGAGCTGTGTGCAGTATCACCGAACAGACACCTCCACCAGCTAATGAATCAGATTCGGGAGACACTTCTGTCTCCTTAAAAAGAGAGGAGGCTGGTTCCTCCAACCCTAGGGAAGGACTTGGTACCCGGCAGCCTCTCCTGAACCCGGGCATGCAAACAATATGCAGACTCACGGGATCCCACTCACTGGGCGAGGGTTTCAGGCAGCCCGTCTAGATACAAGGACCTGGCTTGCCCCTGAGAGAGGGCCCCAGGGTGTAGAGACAGCAAGCCTGGAAGCACCGAGGCCAGCACCAGGCTCGCCGATCCTTCCTGGCCTGCTCTGCAGTGAAGGCTTCCAGCTACGAAGCTCCTCCGGCCTCACTCCCAGGAGTGCCCCCTGCTGGAAAACCACAGCCCCAGGCTGGCTGCCAGCTCCCTCCTTCCAGCTCTCCTCCAAAAGTCCTTTTGAGAGGGATTGCTTCCCAAAGTGAAGACAGAATAACTAAATGTATTCCGGCACAGAGCCTGCAGCAGCAAGGCTGTTTGATTAAGAATGAATTACACTTTCATCAGCACAGAGAAATTGATTCACAAGGCCGCACTGTGATAATCTTGTTCCTAAAGCAAAAGGGGGTGGGTGGGACACAGAGCCACTTCGGCTATCAATGATGAGAGAGAAGAAGCTCTACAATTAAGCTGGGAGAAGAAAACTAATCAGAGCGCCAGGATTCCTCCAACTAGTCTCTGGGGGCCTCACCTCAATCCACTCATCCCGGCGGGAGAAGAGAAGAAGGGGTGGGGGAGAGTCTAATTCATTTTAAACAAAAAGACCCACAACGCTGAACCCATTTTAGATACTAACCTAATAACTCTAGGTGCTGAGACTCTGCTTGTCCCATAAAAATGCAGTGGAATTGAAATGCAAGCCCTAAAATCATGTTACACTTCCTCTCAACCACTACATATTGAGAACGAAGGAGCGGGGGAGGGCGCAGATACAAAAGGACAGGCAGATTCTCCACCAGGAGCAGGAAGGTGACAGCCAAATCCAGCAGCAGCAAATTCCAACATAATCTCTGGTTTGGGGTGTGATAAACATTCCCCTTCCAAATCAAAGCTGAGGGGGCAGGGCCGGTGAGGGGGGATGGCTGCTATAAACGGGTCAGATTAAGCTATTCAGCTGTCTTGCTAGTTGACAGCTTGTACCCAAATGCCGTCTGGTGATGTGCACGGGGAGAGAGCTGTCCACACACTTATCCCTAAGCAGAGGTGGGATGAAGGGCCGAGTCCACCACAATTAACAAATCCAATTTGCTATCAGCTACTGTATCTGCTCTAGAGAGAAATATGCCTGGGAAAACCCAGAGGGTGCCTTTGGTTTATTAATCCTTTAGGGACCTAAAGTGGCAGAATGATGCCTGGAAACCGGTATCTGCCCATGTCTCGAGCTGCCCGTGTGATGCTGGCAGGGCCTCATTTCATTCCTCCACCTGGAAAATGGACGAATCGGCCTGATTCACCTCGCTGGGCAGGGGGAGGCTAACTGATGGGCACAGAGCACTCTGAACGAGCACCTTCGGGAAATGGGGCAGATAGACCGATGTCATTTCAAATTGCCAATATCAGAAGGGAAATCACAGCAAGGATCATAAGAATAGAACCTCGAGCCTGCAGAATGAGTTTGCATCCCGACTCTTCCCTCCCGCTGTTGCAGTGACAAATCAGGTGCTGGAGGAATGCTGCACTGAAACGTATCTTCAGTGCTGAGGGACCAAATGAGATGTCTTACTGCATCCAATCAGGCCCACTAATGTCCTCAGACACTTCCAAATGGTGGTAAAATACCCTAGAAGGGCGAGGCAGGTTTTGCACACTCCTCAACGCCTCCCAAAGGACAACTGCTTGACCAGGTAAAGCCCACCAACCAAAGGGAGGGACTGGATCATGGTCTTTTGGCAAAGAGGCTGGTAGAATCTTCTACCTAGGGAGCTACAAGGAACAAGCAAGAAAACTGGAAGCGCTCGACAGTTAAGAGGCGTGTGGACATTCAGTCTGCGTGAGGTGGGAGTGGCCTTCAGGGATGAGCCCAGGCTTCACGTCCAGGAGGAGGGTGCCCCGAGACCAGCCCATGCCTGCGACGCCTCCCCCGAGCTTCCCACGGAGCCAGTGCCCTCTCTCCTGTGTTCTTCATCCACACCTGGTGCCTCTGCTGACCCCTGCTCCCCACTCCACTCCTGCTCCCCTTTCTTCTCCACCCTCCCCCCACCACATCTGCCCTGTTCTCACAAAGGGAAAGTTCTGGAGCCAGGGAGCCAAGGCAGGGGACGCTCCACCAGACATCGCAGGGTTTCCGAAGCAGGCAGAGCCCTGTGGGTCCCTGAGCAGGGTCTGGGGGTGCTGAATGTGTTCACCACACGGGCAGCGCAGCCTGTGGAGCTGCCCCCGTCCAGGCAGGCGATGCTGATGGAGGTCACAAGGGAGGCCTGGCTGGTTGCTTTAACTGTGGGAGACGCCTTTCACGCTTATTCACCCTCGCCCTGTGATTTATCACTTCCCTGGTGTTTTAAGTGCTCCACTTGACTCGGCCAGCCCTGCATCTCCAAAGGGAGTCCATGCAAATTGAAGATGACATTGAACTTTTATGTCTTCCCGATCTAAGAGAGAGGCGGCTGGAGCTTCAGATAAATGTCGAGGCTCCTCCCCATTCCTGCTCCTCCACCAGCGGAAACCACAGCTAGACCTCGATGGTTCACACCATTTACGAAAAAAATAAGCTTTCTAAGCTCTATGACCCACAGGATTTCTCATTTGTCTACTGCCTTTGAAATCCTGTGCTTCTTCAGCGACCACGGGCACAAAAAACAAAGACAAGTTTCCTGGCGCTCATACCAGCCCAGAATTGGGGAGTGAAGCTGTCCCTTGAGAGGGGATGAAGGCTGCGAACGTGTTGTCACCTCCAGAATGTGCTGCCCAGCTAAGTCACACCTGGCCACCACTCACTTCATCAGTGCAGTGGCTCTGAAGGCAAGAGGTTCAAGCCCAAGACACCGTGTCCCCCTCCCCCAGCCTCACTGCCAGACCCCACGCCCTCGCTCACAAGACCCAGAGCCCAGGAATACATGTCACGGTCACTCCCCCCGAGAATGCCACAAATCTACGTTCCCAAGGGCAGCTTCTGATCACTAGCACCGCTTGGGACTCTGATGCAAATGCCAAACCAGTTGTACTGATTATCGATTGGGAGAAAATTGAAATGTGGAGTTAAGATTAGCAGGAGGAGAAAAATACACCCTTGCAAATCCAAATCAGATAGTACAGTCAGCGGAGTTCATTCTGGAGTTTTAAAAGTTTTTACCTCTAAACACACGGAAACTAAGACACTTACTGTATACGCGTGTCACAAGTTGTGCACGTAACTGTGGTGCGTCCCTCAGCCCAGGCTCACAAGCAGATTCGTTTCTTTATATAATTTTAAGCACTCGCTGAGTCCTTACAGTGAACTCACTAAATTCTCATAACAATCCTGGGGGGGGAACGAACTGTTTATTCCCTTTTTACAGGTGAGGACACTGACCCTTAACAGAAGGTAAGAATTTTAGAGATAGTAAGTGGCAGAGCAGCGGCAACCCTGGTGAAGAAAACTGGACTGCCTCTCAGCATTCCCATGTAACCCGTGGGTAAACCCTTGTAATTAGCTTAAGTGTCACCAGCCCTGGAGGGTCCTGATGAGTCAGGGTCAGACACCGGCCTCGAGGTGAGGCAGGAGAGGACAGACAGCAAGGGGGAGGAGTACCCCCGGATCACGGGAGGTAGCAGAACCAGTCTTTCCTTGAAGAAATCTATGATCAAAAGACATGAAAAACAAAACAAAAATCAATGCAGGCTGGTTTGAACCAAGATTAATGACAAGTTTCAGGACAATGGAAACTCTCCAGTTCACCACCGGTCTGCATTTCTCATCCCGGACTTTCTAGATGGAGCTGTGCCCTTGACATTCTAGGCGCCCACACTTCAAAGCCCGCCGTGGTATTTCTCATCAGCTAGGCTCACTTCAGCCCAGACCACAGCAGGCACAAGGCCAGAGCCGCCCCAGCACAGCAGGTGACTGGCTGTCAGGCTTGGTCACTGGCCACAGGGACCACCAAAGTCGAGAAAGTGGAAAGTGCATCCAACTTCACGTGTAGCAAAAGCTGCCACTATTTAATCTGGTGATACTAAGTCCAGCTGTATTAAGAGCCAACTCCATTTTATTAATCCTTGATTAATCAGAATTCTTGATTAACTGGAGCTTGGCAGAATACTTTGAAAACAAGTTCACATCAAGACACTAAAAAAAAAGAAAAAAAAAAAAAGTCTTCTGTGCATGTCCCAGGAGTGGTACACATTTGACTACAAATCAAACATCATTTGTCTATAATCACAGCTCAGTGAGAACTGACGGTCAGAACTGGGTCCCTGAAGAATTTAAGCGTTCTGAATCATTACAGAAAGAAGAGAGGTGAAATCATATAAAGGTAGAACAGGACGGTCACATGCAGAGAATATCTGACAGCACAGACTAAGACAAAAAGGGACTTCCTGCGTGCCCCTGTGCTTGCCACGGGGTCCAGGAAGCCACAGTGGAGCCGCCCCGGGGTCCTCTGGGTGCCACGGGGTGATCCCTTGAGCAGAGGTGCCACCCGGCCCGCCCACTCTGTGCTCTTCACACCTGTCTGGCGTGGAGCATGCGCCGCTTGGTGCTGGCATGTTCAGCGCCAGCGTGCGGCATGAAAGCTGAAGAAACAGGAGCCTGCTAAACAAAAGTGTCACACGCAAATTGTGGTTCACGCCACGGGTTCCTGGAACCACTGACAGATCGAATCCATCTTCTAATGAGATCCATCTGGGACTTTAATAGCAACCACAAATAGGACCTATCCTATGCCAGATCGCACTGTTTCGCACAGAGCTTCCAATGGGCTTATTTTATTCTAGGAGCAGAAAGCACGGTGAGGACACCGAAGGACACATCCCATGTGACTGTCAGGTGTGGGTGGGCTTGCTGGCGGGGGTACTACTGGGGAGCAGGCGAGGAGCAGAGGCAGGATGTTATTATTGCGCCTAATAAATTCTCTCCACTGCCTAGGCCTGTTGGGAGAATAATGAACTGTTGCAGAAGGAAAGCAGCAATTATTCAATTAATTCGCTCCACGAGCACTGACTACCCGTCTGCTGGGTGCCCGGACTTCTCTGTCCCGACCTGAGTTCACGCCGACTGCGACCGTGCCCCAGACTGCGGAGAAGCCCAGGCAGAGGTGGCCGTTAGTGTGCCGGCGAACAGAGTCCGCTTAGCCTGACTGCGTATCAGACCCCTGTGCTATTGGTTTGCTGTACTTGAAAAGAGAATAGATGCGTACAGAAAGGGAGGCTCTAGAGGAGAAAATGAGGGAACACGGGCAGCCCCTTCATCCCACGACCAGAAGCCGCCAGGTATGACTGCGGGTCTTCAGAGGCTGTCAGAGGCTGATCTCGTTTTAAAGGCACCAGTCTTAAGAACACCCAAATTGACCCCGTTTCCATGCTAGGGTTATTTATCTAAGGAGTACGCCACCAAGACAAAGGACTTTAGACAGACCTGACCGGACAAGAAGCCATGACCTTCCCCAGCCCGACAACGACACAAGATGTGAAGGACGGCTGGTCCTACAGCCCCAGGACATGCTCTTCAGAACGAGGCAGCCTTCCGGACCCTGGAGGCTGTTCTGGCCCCACAGGGCGGATGCCTGCTCTCAGACTCGAAGCATGCTGCGGCCAGTCCCCAGGCGCCACCTGCCCTCGGGAGGGCTCGGCACGGCCCGGGGACAGAGACAGGCAAGCTCATGCAGGGGTTAGTATCACAGAGGTCAGTCCCATCACCACATACAGAGTACCTGGGAATAACCTACTTTGAGGGCTCAAATGCAGATAGGTCTTCTGCCTTGGGCTTGAGGCTAAACCAGCAAAATAAAATGAAGAAAAACAAAAACATACCCTGTGATATCAACAATGCCACACGTGCCATTTGCAAAATGCTCAGACAGGCCTGAATTGTGACAAGTCACTTCATTTGTGTGTTTTTATGGCTTGGAAACGGGTCTCCCCAGCTTTCAGCACCCCAGGGCCCTGTGGTCGAGGGCCCGGCTCACAGAAGCAGTGGCAAAGATGAGCCTGTGCCCGGCGCCCGGGGGAGGGAGTGGGGCAGGGAGGGGTCCGAGGCAGCTCCTGTGAGGCCCAACTGGCTCACTGGCCCAGTCATCCTTCTTTCTCTCTGCTCACTGGCTGAGGCCTCGCTCCAGCTCCCCTTTGCTAACTGTTTCAGAATTTGGTTTGGAAGGGAAACCCGGTAAGTTACAGAAGTTGGAGGAAAGAAGAACGTGGACTGTGGAAAGGTCTCTCCCTCCAGGTCACGCTATTAAAAGGAATTCTCTACTCGGTGCCAATACTAACCGGAGTCAAGAGGGAGGATTCAGGGATCCCGACTGTACCCCTCAACGATGGCAGGTAGATACAGATCTCTTGAAAACAGACAGTTCTCAAACTGGGAGATCAATTTAAAGACTACGCTAAAGCGTACAAAGTGAAACACATCTAACTATCACCACCGAAACTCAATGAAGAGCCTTGTCTTACTGACCCCCATTTTACGGGTGTTAGCCTGGTCCTGGGGGAAGAGACAGGAGCTGACATCACGTGGCAGGAGAGGACCTTTCCGCTTTGCCCAGCGTAAGAGATGTACACTCTTGGGCTGATAGTATGGAATTTAACTTCCTCCAAAATGCTGAAAGCTCAAAATATCCGTGGAGAAAGACATGAAACTGTTAGCAACATAAATGAAGTCTCATCTCTTAAAACATTAAGGTTCTTCTAGATACTCCCTTTGAAGTCTGAAAAATGTTAAAAATTCAGAATTTGGTTTCCAAATCAAGAACAGAATTTTACAGTCCTTGCCACTTAAAAACACAAAAAGACGAGAGGGAGAGTCCATTCTCAACAGCCTCCCTTTCATTTTGCTTTCTCATTAAGTAAGGCAGCTCCCTGGGCAGAACTCCCCTCGGCTTAAAAGACAGAATTGCTTTACTGCTAAATGATGGATCAAAACCTGTCCTGTAACCATGATTCATTTCATCAGAGCTTTTAACACAAGCTCCCCTTCCATCGAGTCAATGGATTCACAGACATTGGCAGATTAAATTCCCTTTCTGGCGTGAGTCAAAAAAATTCCTCAACTAAGTACATATAAAAAGTGACAACAGTCTAATGACTCGGCCTCTGAGGAAACCAGATGCCAACCTCACGTTTCATTAACGACTGCCCTAATCAGCAAAAGACAAGAGACTCGGTACCTTTTTGATGGTATTGTGTTTGCTGCTGGTGCCGCCCGGATCAGAGTTCTCGTTGTGCAGAATATCTAAGGCCGTCTCCCTCTCTTTGAGTTTCAAGGCCTCGATCTCTGTCTTGAGTTCGTTGAGCTGCTCCTGCAGGTGCTTGCTCTTCTCCATATACTCCACTCTGCCAGAGAGAGGACAGAGTATCAGGGGGTCTGGCAAACAGTGAGGCGCACCGTGGCCGAGAGGCACCAGACCCACACGCTGCGTGGCCTGGGACCCAGGGTCTGAGCCTGGGGTTCACATCTCTGCTTGGCCACTCGCGGGCCATGGGAGCTTGGGCCAGTCACTAAACTGCTCTGCATCTGTTTCCTCATCCATAATATAGGGATAATGATCACAGGGCTGTGGTCGGGATTAAACAGAAGGAAGTGTAGGAAAGCCTCAGTAAGCTCTCATACCAGTTGTAATGGATAACAGTTTTTAGTTCTACACAGAAAACAACACAAGAAACAAGCCTCCTGGCATCCAAAACAATCTTGTCTCAACCCTTCTCGGAGAAGTAATTCCATTCTAGTGACCTCTTCTGATAGGCCATGGCCACATCCCTACTTGTTTTGGGACATAATCTCCTAAAGATGACAGAAGCCCACTCAGCAAACACCAGGAATAGAAAGATGCCCACCACCACCTGCAAGCACACATGGTTATCTATGAAGGAAACCATCCTCAGGGTGTCCAGCTACACGGGCACAGCCAGGCAAACTGGGCATCACAGACACAAGGGACCTTCTGCAGTGATTCCCACGCACGGGTGGTGCCTGGTGCGCACAGGTAATGAGTAAGAAAACATAAACTGTGAAAAGGCAGTAAGCAGCCTCACCCTGATCACACAACCACGTACTGCCGAGCACACCTAGAAAACAGTGAAGGGTAGAGGGGAACTCCACCACGGGTGGAGGGGACTGGGGGTGCCACAGACACAGACGCTGGGTCCCTCTATCCTCAGGACACGAGCCCAGAGAGACTTACTGCCCGGCCTGTGGCTGCCCGGGCTGGACATGGAGAGGGTTACCTGAGGACACCAAACAGGTGAAAGCACATGGGCCGCAAAGTCAGACGGATGAAGCGCTGAACCCCGGATCTGTCCCTCATCAGCTGTGGGGTGCTGGGTGAGCTCCTTAAATGCTCTAAATCTGGGTTCTCATTTATAAATGGGAACACTAAACCTACCTTTGAAGTCAGTTGGTGGGAACGGAATGAGATAAAAGATAAAGGACCCTGTCACCCAGGCACCTCGTGCCTGGTAGCTACTGTGACATTTCCCTGCCCAGCCATGGCACAGATGGCCGATTTACCGACGGCCCTGATTAGGGGACCTCGGTTAGGTGCCCTCTGCAGTGGGGCTCCCTTCCATCTCAGAGCCACGTCCCCTGACCATAAAGTGAAGGAGGAAGACAGCTCAGGGCACGCCGGGCTCAAATTGCGGATCCCGCAGCAGGGCTGCTCAATATGACTGTGGCCCCAGCCATTTGCCCTCCTCAGCCTTGAGCTGGAGTTTCTTCTCTCTCGTCCTTGTTCTAGACATGGGACCCTCCACAGAGCTCAGCCGCCAGAGAACACAACTAGGAAACGTGTCGCATCACCAGGTTAGAACACGACCACCATGGACCACCACGTGAACAGCGGTCTGACTGGCTTGGAGACCTCTGACAGCCAGTCCTAGACTTCAGGTGAGCTCTGGAGTAACTATAAACTCCGGATCACAAATCAAGTGTCATTTTTATCCTGGAAGATGAATGCTGGTCTGTCGCCCTTCATTTCCAATTAGGAAATTCCTCTCCCGGTGGGTGAGGACAGAACAAACCTTTGTAGGAGTTAGTGCCAGGCTGCCCACGCGGGGCACAGGGGAGGGGAGGGGGCTCCGTACTTTTCTTTCTCTATCTCCATGGAAAGCCGCTTCATGTCAGTATCCTTGAAGTCGAAAGACAGGCTGTCACCAATGAGGTTGAAGCTTGGTATGTCAGGAGGCAGCGGGGCTGGGAGTGGGTTCATAGGCTACGAAGGAGAAATCTGATTAGGAGGTTCGGTTCCACACGAACAGAGGGCACTGCTGCGTCAACCACCCACCCCTCCAGAGGCCACAAAGGCTCTGGACCCAGCGTGCCCACCCCTGAAGCAGAAAGGGAGGCAGTTAGATTTGTTTTGAGGACTTTCTCCTCCCAGATCAGAGGGTTTTCTAAAATATGGCCCCAATCTACGTCTCCCACCATCTGCCCTATAAGATCGTCAATGGTATCATTTATTACCCCTTGGACCACTTTGCTTCCCACCTCTGTTACTTTGCTTAAACCAAGTCACCTCCCCACGTCCCGTCTCTCTTTCAAGGCCCTAGAACATTCTGCACCATTCACTCCACCATGCGTTTGCTTAACAGTCGCCCTGAAGGCCCCACCAGGGGAACCGGAGGGCTGGGAGGGAAGGGACCGCTACGAGGTGAGAAGCAGCGCGGCTGGCAGCCCCAGGCTCACCGGGTATGTGGGTTTGGTGGTGATTTCCAGGAGCTTCTGCTTGGCTCTTCGCTCTGCCTCGCGGGCTTCCTGCAGGTCCTGCTTCAGCTGATCTGCCTCCTTGGCCCTGCAAGGAGAGAAGGGGCCCTCAGCTCCACAGAAGATGACAGGAGGAGGAAAGAGACCCCTCTTCCCCCTTGGCCCCTGGAGAGGAGGGAGCTGGATTAACCCTGAGGGTGGCACCAGACCAGGCAAACAAGCACGGGGGTTGGGGGATGGAGGAGGATTTACATGAAATCAGAACTTCCGAAGCAGGAACAACATTCCCAGGTATTGTTCATTTCAACTGATTTCCAGTTTAAATCAAAACTGGGAGAGCAGTGAAGCAGGTGGCCAGAAGAGTCAAGGATGAACCTTTGCAACTGGGGGATGGGGAGGGAAATCAGGGGAGGAGCTAGAAGCTTCCTCTGCTTCTTTCTGGGTGAGAGTAGGCTGGGCAAAGGTGTCATACTGGATCACAAAGGGCAGGATGTGAAAGAACTGATTCTTCACGACCCCCAAGTGAAACAACCTCCTCGGGCAGGAAGATAAGTACGTCGCTTAGGGCCTCGTGCCTCGTCAGGACACTGGACCCAGGGGACCCAGCCCAACACACATCATTCACGGGGAAGTGACCGCACATGTAAAGAAAGGAGCCTGGGGCAGGGCGGGAAACGTGGAACCGTATTCCCAGAATGACACGCAAAGAATGGAGAGGAAACTGTAGCGACTGCACCCTGGCAGTGAAAAGCCAAATTCAGGTGTTCTAAACCCACAGACCGAGTGCCGCAAGGAATGAGCCAGGGTTGTCTGACGGCTGCGGAACCAGCACAGCCCAGAGCCTCCAATTGTCTTTGAAAAGAACAGACTACAGTCCCATCCTTCGACCTGGTCGTGAGCCAGGGCACCGTGCCCTCCCCTCCCATCTTCAGGGAAGCGTTAAAGGTGAATAGCTGCTGTCTCCCCACACACCCCTCAAACCAAAAGGGAAAAGAAGCACATTCTGTAAATGTCAGAAGAGCCTCCTCATGTCTCCTCAGCTAACAGCAGCCTGTGGACAAGCTCGATGGTTTTCCTGCAAACACGAGCATCACAGAGGCGGGGGCTCATTGCAAAGGCACAGCCCGACCAGAGTCCACTGGACAGGAGAACTAGGTTCCTGCGCCCGTCCAGCTCCAGCCCCACCGGCCTGTGCGGGAAGGAGCCTCTGCCCCTGCCTGGGAGACGGGTCAGCAGCTGCCAGCAGGCTCTGCCCCAGCGCAGGGCCTCCCCGCCCCCATGCTGACCTCCTCTCGGACTCCTCAGCCATCTTCAGCGCCAGCACTTCGGCCTCCAGCACCTTCTGCTCCATAAGGCGCTTCTCTTCCTCTGTCCGGATGGCCGTGGCCTTGATGCGCTGCATCTCCTGTTCGGCCTCTGCCGCCTTCTGTGCCAGGAGCTTTGCCTCCTCCTCAGTGATTTGGGCCTTTTCGGCCAACAGGTCGGCTGTCTCCTCGGACCGCATCTGGAGAAAAGAGCGTGCTCAGCGGGAACAGGAGTCCTGTGCCTGTCATCCCGCCCCGATCAGGTCTCAGACACTCAGGTCAGCAAGGACCAAGGTCTTGGACTCCTTGGGGCCCTGCCACTGAGTGTCCCCAAGCCACACCCTTCAACTTCTCAGAAGGCCCTTCAGGGTCCCTCCATGGGGACCCACTTGAGCTGAGGCTACACTTTATGAGGGAGAAACCCAACTTAACTCTGTCCTTCTTTCTCTTTAAATAAGTGCTTCAAAAGCACGGGAGACTGTGCCCTCTGGGGACACGTCACAATGTCTAGAGACATTTTTTTTTTTTTTTTTGGATACAGGGGGCTCTCTCTTTTGTGGCCTCTCCCGTTGCGGAGCACAGGCTCTGGACGCGCAGGCTCAGCGGCCATGGCTCACGGGCCCAGCCGCTCCGCGGCATGTGGGATCTTCCCGGACTGGGGCACGAACCCATGTCCCCTGCATCAGCAGGCGGGCTCTCAACCACTGCGCCACCAGGGAAGCCCTAGAGACATTTTTGATTGTCACAAATAGGGGAATCTAGTGGGCAGAGGCCAGGGACACGGCCAACCAGCCCTCAACACACAGGATGGCCCCCACCAGGGGATGACCTGGCCCCGAGGTGGGGCAGGCCAAGGCTGAGACACCCTGCGGGAAAGGTGACCCACAGTGAGTGGAGTCTGCCTGCACTTGGAGGTTGAACTCAATCTAAATCTGCTCCTGGAAACACAGGCGGAGAGGAAGACAATAATTTTAAGCCAAAATGTCAAAGTAAATGTGCCTAATTCTGGAGTTGGGGGCCTAACTCCAGAACCAGAGGGAGTCCGAGTAGCCTCCCAGGACCCAGCCCCTTGGAAATCACCAGGGCTTCGTTGGCCATCGTCGCCTCTTCCTTCATCTGCAGCAGCCTCCTCTCCAGTTCGTCCCTCGTGCGTTCAGCCTCCTCCCTCATCTGCTTCTCTCGAGCGAGGCGCTGCCTCTCCATCTAGGGGGAATGAGCGGCCGCTGGTCACAGGGCCCATGACCTGCTGTGCCACAGATCTGAGGACAGCCAGTACCCAGGGTCTCCCCTCTGGGGACCCTTTTCTTCCCTGGACTTTAGGTACCAGTGTTGTTCTCCTCGCCCACCACCCTCCATCCTTCTAAACCAGCTCTAGAGTGGAAAGCCGTGCTTATTGAAAAATCATCTAGTTGTAAATGAACAAACAGCAGAACACGGAGCCAGTCTCCACCCGGATGTACGGGTGCATCCGTACACGCTGGGTACGGAAACAGCTACCTGGTCAACGTGCCTGAGACCCCAGTGGCTCTGCCCTGCAGCTGACAGGACACAATGCAGGCTCCTTCTCCCCAAGGGGCAGCTCCAGAGATAGACCACATGTCCCTCTCCACCACCGTGAGCCACCGTGCCACTTCTTATCCACACAGACCCCTCCCACACCTCTAATCTCATCAACAGTAGCTCCACTCTTGCCTCTGACCCTCGGAGAAGATGGAATCATCCGTGTGATGCATCAATAGCTCACACATCGTATTTCACAGCAGGAGGCGGCAGCAGCCAGGCACAGACCCCCACAACCTCAAGCGAAAGCAACTCCTGAGCCAGGCCTGTGACAGGAGGGAGCACGGGGGGAGGAGTGAGGACGCGGCCCTGATCCTTACGGCACCAGCACTAAGCTGCTACCGCCTCCCTTGCCTTCTGGATCACTGTATTAATTGGGCCACACGCCGAGCTTAATAAGCAGAGGACAAGTGCTATTCTCTGTGATCCTAGGGCTCTAGCTGAGTTCAGAAAGCAGGAGCCAGAAGTGACCACTGCACTATTTTCTTCCTTAAATAATTAAAGCACATTTAATTACTAAATTCTTGCTTCAATCTTCTCCCAAACACAAGATTTTTAAGATTGCTGCTTTTTCTAAATAGTAAGTCATAAAAATGCATTGGGCCTCGAAGGAATAATGCAAAGACAAGCAATAAAATACAGTAAATTTTTCTCCAGTTTTCCTCTTGCAGGTCAATGAAAAGCCTGGACGATTTGTTCTCTAATTTCCATCATATTACAATTCCCATTAGGTGGATGACTAGATCCCCATTATCCTCCACTTGAAAAAAGTCTACAATTCCCTTCTGCTCTCAGCATTGCACCCTCCCTGAGACCTCCACCCCAATCATAAGGGACCTCCTGTTTGCAAAGCGGTTTCAGCTCACAAAGACCTTCAGGTACAGTGTGTCCTCTGATCTGAGACACAGAAGAGAGATACTTAGCTCCACTTGACAGATAAGAAAACCGAGATCTGGAAGGTAAGTCAATCACTAGGGTCACATACTAAGTTTCACATCTGGCTCCAAGGTCAATGTCTGTACTGCTGGGCCATGGAGCCCCTGACCTGTGGTTGCCAGATGCCAGGAACGTGCATCTGCCATCCTACAGGCAGTGCAGGTCCAGGCGTGTGTTCAAGCTGCTCTCTGCACAGCCTGGAGGCTTACACACTCCTTGCCGTGATCAGATCTCTCACTTCTAAGCTTTCCTCTGCTGATAAAGAGGTCAGAGAGGGCTCTTCTTGAAGTTGCCACTATGACCCTGTGCTGGACCAGGAGCATTTCTTTGTCCAGCAAAATCCATTCCACTGCCCCCCACCCCACCCCAAAGCATCCCAAAGAGTACATCTGTGGCCTGCCATCTCAGAGAGCAAAGAGACGGAGCCGAGAGCACAGAGACGGAGCCGAGAGCACAATGGATCACACTGGGCATTTCATTCTAAACCTCAGGGCCGGGAGCCAGCTTCGTCGGAGGACCCAAATTAGAGAGCTGCACACAGACTAATTATTACCCCTCCAAGCCTGCAAGTCCTAAGGGCAGCCGATTGCAGCTGCTGCTACTCTGTCTAGTAGTTCATCCAAAGCCATGATTGATATTTCTCAGCAGCGGGGCTCAGATTAGCTGTGCGGATTGCGGTGAGTCAAAAAGGTCTAAGAGTAGAAAACAATGATGCAGATCGTCCAGGCTGCTGATAATGTGCTCCTGGCACCTCTCGCTGTGGGCGATGTGCCGCCTGGGCTGACCTGCAATGGGGAAGAGCGGCCGGAGTCTAATTCCAGCAGTGGGCGCAGAGATGCCGCCCTGCATTCCATCACCATCTAATTAGAAAAGGAGAAGGCTGGGCACAGGAGACAGGCAGGCAGAAAGAATAAAAGTTTAGCTGCATGGACGATGGATGGATGGATGGGTGGATAGGTGGGTGGATACATGTGGGCTTGGCTATCTCTGCCCACAACGTGCATTAATCACACTTCACTCAATTCACTGGAGAAATAACTAGGGATGTGTCTTTGAGATATGCTGTTAGAGTTTATTCCTCATTTCCAGAGCTGACGTCCCACCATCATTTATTCATCAGCCAAAAAGACCCAACAGGAATAAAATAAGAGTAGGCAGATCCGTGCTCAAAGGACTCCTGTGAGCCCATGACCACTCCTTACCTCCCGGCCAAGACCACCACCAGGAGACAACGGCAGTTCACCTGCTCACCTGCTTTCTGGCCTTCTCCTCCCTGGCCTGAGCTTTCATCTGCTGAACTTCCAAAGAATCGGCCTTCCTCCTCCTCATAAACAGGTCGTGGTTCCCGATACACAGCTGGAGAATCTGTGCAATGAAAGCAGGAGAAATGTTATACCCACACGTTGACTCCACTGAGACAGCACAGCAGCTACAGCATCTTGGTCCAAGGGCTCTTGTGGGGAACCTGAGAGAAGGTATGGAGGGAAACACCAACGTCCTCCCTGTGGCCTCCAGGCCTCAGCTCTGGAGACAATCACAGTGAAGAGAGGAAGGGGTGCCATTTAGCTTGTCTTCTGATGCCCCTCACTGTGCGGAGTCAGGGCGTGGCTCCGCAGACCAGGGAAGATGACGGCAAAGCTTGTTCAACAGGCAGGGCTGGGACGACAAGTAATTCGTGGGAAAAAAGTAAGTTGGATTCCCCCACCTCCACCACATGCAAAACTCGACTCCAGAGGAATTAATGCCTTAAGCGCAAAGATCAAGCCCTGGAAATTCTTAGAAGAGAACATAGAAGAATATCTTGATGGTCACAGGATAAGGAAAGATATCAAGCAAGACACAAAAATCGCAAACAGTTAAGGAAAAGATGTATACGTTTATCTACATTAAAAATTGTTAAGACATAAAAAGCAAGAGGAAAAATAAGACACAAAGTGGAAGAAGAGATAACCAATAAAGAAAACAAACAACCCAAAAGAAAAACAGCCAAAAGACAAGAAACAAGTTTGACAAAAGAGACAATGAGACTGGCCAATAAATATACAAAAAGATATTCAACCTCATTAGTAAAGATGCAAATTAATATGACACCGAGATACCATTTTAAATGCACAAGATTGGCAAAAATTTTTAAAGGCTAATAACACAATTGCTGAGGATATAGGATATAAGGCAAAAGGAAGCCTCACCCAGGGCTGTTGGATCTGTACATTAATTCACCTTCTTTGGAAAACAACGTGACATAACCTTGAATTTGAACATATACCACATGCAGGGCTATGTGAAGACACTCTCTAGACTCCAGGGAAGCAATTGCCCATGCGCACCAGTGGGCAGATACAAGATGCAGAAAGCACTTAATTGTCCATTAACAGGAGAACAGAGAAAAAAAAAAAAAAAAAAATATATATATATATATTAACAGTATAATGGAATACTATACAGAAGTGAAATGAAAGGACCATATCTTTGAGCATCAACGTAGATAAATCTCAAAAATTAATGTGTAAAAAAGGCATGTGACAGAAGAACACAGTTGATAGCACATATATAAATTTCAAAAACATACATAACTTGCCGTATACGAACTAAAGTTCTGATGAAAAGCAGGGGGATATTAAGCACACAGCTGAGAATGGTGGTCACCTTTGGGGAGAGGGGGGACAGTAGGGTGCTAATGCAGGGGCGGTTCCACAGTGTTGGGAGTGTGCTATTTCTTAAAGCTTGGTGGTGGGTAGGTAGCTGTTTATTTCTGTTGTTCTTTATACCCCATGTATACATTATACATATTCTTTCATATGTATGAAGTACTTCAATAAAAATAACTTTTAGAAATTCCTCATCACAAAATGTAGGTTTGACTCTAGGTTAAGCTAAAGAGAAATCTTTCAAGGCTGATCAGAGAAGCACGTACCAAGTGAGTTATCATTCTACACCTCACAACATGTCACTCTGATACTGGTTCAAAAATGGCTTTCAATTTCACAGAAAAACTACAGTCTGTAACAAAAACCAGGATCTCAACTTACCAGCTTATTAACACGAAGCTTTGAGGAGTTAAATTTGAAGACGTCAATTTTCTTATCCAATGGCTTAATAGTAAACTGAAAGGAAAAAGCAGAAAACAGTTTCATTCTGATAGCCTAGAACATTGCCACCAACTGGGAAACTCCACAAAAGCAGCAACCCCCCTAGCAAAGATCCAGCACAAGGCCATGCCTTGTCCTGGCTTCATGGTGCCCAGGAAGTTCAGGATCCTGGAAGCTGGGTTCTCGGCACCATCTTGGGCTTGGAAATCTGAAATACAAACCCTTGACAGGCCCAACTTTGAGGCCAACACTGGGAGGGCCGCCGCAGAGGTGGCCCTGCCTACAGGAGGCTCACCACCTGGCTGGAACTAGACCAACAAGAGTCAACTACTCAAGAGATTACATCACGTGTTAGTGCCTCATTGGGTGGCACAAGTCACAAATCCTCTGGGTAGGATGGACATAAGCTGGTCTTAGACAAAGAATATGACAGAGAAGCTAAAAGGTAGGATGGAGGGGCATTCTGGACAGGGCAAGCAATAGAAATAAGGCAAAGGTGGGGAAATGAGCAGTGCTAGCGTGTGTGTGTGTGTGTGTGTGTGTGTGTGTGTGTGTGTGTGTGTCATTATTAACTCTTTGATGACTAAGATAAAACCATGGGTTTAGACTGGGAGGAAGGCAGGAGTGGGGGCTGGTGAGGTGGGCTGGGGATGGGCAGTCAGAAGGGCTTAGATTTGATGTGACAGCATACAGGGCATCACCCCAGATTTCCAAACATGGGGATGGTTTGATGAAAACTGTTAATAGAAAGAATACGGTTAAAGAGTGACAAAGAACGGACTGCAGTAGAAAAGGAAAATACTACAAAAATCAAAGGGGAGAGAAAGAGGAATGCTATGGATGGGGGGGTGGGAGGGTGGGTAGCTTAGTAGGAGAACCCAGGGTCAGACTACCAGGCAGGGTCGAATATAAAGAAAAAACGGCAACTGTTGCTCTCACTCATTCCTGATGAGACCGGACAGATCCTAGATTTCAAAGATGCACTTTATTTCTTTTTTTAATTTTTTTATTTTTAACATCTTTATTGGAGTATAATTGCTTTACAATGGTGTATTAGTTTCTGCTGTATAACAAAGTGAATCAGCTATACATATACATATATCCCCATATCTCCTCCCTCTTGCGTCTCCCTCCCACCCCTCTAGGTGGTCACAAAGCACCGAGCTGATCTCCCTGTGCTATGCGGCTGCTTCCCACTAGCCATCTATTTTACGTTTGGTAGTGTATATGTGTCCATGCCACTCTCTCACTTCGTCCCAGCTTACCCTTCCCCCTCCCCGTGTCCTCAAGTCCATTCTTTACGTCTGCATCTTTATTCCTGTCCTGCCCCTAGGTTCTTCAGAACCTTTTTTTTTTTCTTTTTTAGATTCCATATATATGTGTTAGCATACGGTATTTGTTTTTCTCTTTCTGACTTACTTCACTCTGTATGACAGACTCTAGGTCCATCCACCACACTACAAATAACTCAATTTCGTTTCTTTTTATGGCTGAGTAATATTCCATTGTATATATGTGCCACATCTTCTTTATCCATTCATCTGTCGATGGACACTTAGGTTGCTTCCATGTCCTGGCTATTGTAAATACAGCTGCAATGAACATTGTGGCACATGACTCTTTTTGAATGATGGTTTTCTCTGGGTATATGCCCAGTAGTGGGATTGCTGGGTCGTATGGTAGTTCTATTTTTAGTTTTTTAAGGACCCTCCATACTGTTCTTCATAGTGGCTGTATCAATTTACATTCCCACCAACAGTGCAAGAGGGTTCCCTTTTCTCCACGCCCTCTCCAGCATTTATTGTTTGTAGACTTTTTGATGATGGCCATTCTAACTGGTGTGAGGTAATACCTCATTGTAGTTTTGATTTGCATTTCTCTAATGACTAGTGATGTTGAGCATCCTTTCATGTGTTTGTTGGCAATCTGTATATCTTCTTTGGAGAAATGTCTATTTAGGTCTTCTGCCCATTTTTGGATTGGGTTGTTTGTTTTTTTGATATTGAGCTGCTTGTAAATTTTGGAGATTAATCCGTTGTCAGTTGCTTCATTTGCAAATATTTTCTCCCATTCTGAGGGTTGTCTTTTCGTCTTATGTTTTCCTTTGCTGTGCAAAAGCTTTTAAGTTTCATTAGGTCCCATTTGTTTATTTTTGTTTTTATTTCCATTTCTCTAGGATGTGGGTCAAAAAGGATCTTGCTGTGATTTATGTCATAGACAAAGATGCACTTTAAACATGAATATCCACTCCCAAGAAAGACTTGCTAAGCAGATGAAGTCGTTTAGGAAGATCTATTCTTGGGTATTTCTTTCACATGCTATGTTGTCCAACAAGGGGTTAGCACACAGAGGACAGAAAAATGGTCCTTTGTTTCGCTTTTGGTCAAGTGAACTTAGAAGCAGTATTGCTCTTGTGTAGGCTGCTATTTATGAATTTCGTGAGCTTATTTTTGGCCCTGCTATCAAAGCCCAGAGCTGTCAGTGGGAAACCTCAAGGAGTGGGGAAACCACAGGCTCTGTGCCACGCCGGGGCATGCACACAGAATCAATGGCTCACTTAAAATAAACCAGCACTTCTGTTGTGACAGCATGGTTGTTGTATATAATGACCAAGACTACTTCTCATCATGTCAACTCAGCTTGGGGCCCTTGCACTGTGCGAGTTACTGACCTGACAGAACTCGGGGGCGCCTTGCCCCGGGAGAGGGAATATTATTTTACTGTGTCGAGCCATCGCACTAGGGGAGACTTCACTGCTTGGCTTCCGTAAAGGATGAGTGTTTTGGGAGCCTTTAGCACGCGAAGTTGTGGATGTGCAGTAAATAGACTTTATGAAATTAGGAGATGAAAAACTACCAGCACACCTACTGCTTTAAGTCACGTAGAACTTTCAGTTTAAGTGCTTTAAAAAAGAAATACCTAAATGCTCATCTCCTGGGCTACTTACAAAAATCTGAGAAGCCAAAATGTTTTGAATTAAGAAGCTCAATCTGTCTCATCAAGCACGGCCGAGTGGATCTCAACCACATACTGGCAACCAGGGGCCTGGTGCTCCTTTCCTCGAGTTGCTACACGAGGAAAGAGAAAGCAGGAAAACTGCATGGGGTGGGGGCTCTGCAGGCAGCCACGTGGGCCGTCTCTGTTACTCACTCCACGCCCGGGCCTGCCTTCCTCAGCCTGGTGCAGAGTCTCAGGGCCCATCCTCTGTGCTTCTCTGGAAACTCGGGGGATGTGGCTTCTGCTATTCCTCTCACCAGACACAGGTCACCTGATCCCTCTGCATCTCCGCTTCCTGAGGTGACACAGAGCAACCAGAACACAGCCCCTACTCTCACAGCAGTGTTCTTGTGAAGACTGAATCAGAGCCAGGGCAAAGCTGCTGGCAGGTGGAAAAGCACCATATCATCACCACCTCTGTCACCCGCCGCTCACACTGAGGTTATGTATCACGGCAGTTGAGTCACTACTTGACTATAACTTCCCTGAGGGCTGAGACTGCATTCTCTACATCTTTGCTTCTCCCACAAAACCTAACACAAAGGAGATGCTCAAAAACTCTCTTAAACTTAACAATGAATGTGGCTACCAAAGGGGAAAGGGTGGGGGAGGGGATAAATTGGGAGATTGGAACTGACATATCCACACTACTATATATAAAATAGATAACTAGTAAGAACCTACTGTATAGCACAGGAAACTCTACTCAATACTCTGTAATGACCTATATGGGAAAAGAATCTAAAAAAGAGTGGATATATGTATATGTTTAACTGATTCACTTTGCTGTACAGCAGAAACTAACACAACATTGTAAAGCAACTATACTCCAATAAAAATTAATTTAAAAAATTAACAAAGAATGAATAAATATAGGATTACAGCATTAGGGAAAAGTCACAATCCTATATAGTAATATTTGAATTCTAAGTTAGAGTGCTCATTTGAGTTATTCAAACTTAATTTTTCTTTAATTCTTGTAAGCAAGTTGGCCTGATATCCTTTATATCACTGCTGATATGTATACATTATGTATACTATATATATATATAAAAAATACATATACATTCATATACATGTTATGGAGAGGTGTGTGTGTGTGTATACCCATATCTCTGCACCACATGAATCAAGCACTGGACACAGAGAGAGGGTTTAATATACACCGCATTTAAAATATAAAGAGAGGGGCTTCCCTGGTGGCGCAGTTGTTAAGAATCTGCCTGCCAATACAGGGGACATGGGTTTGATCCCTGGTCTGGGAAGATCCCACATGCCGCAGAGCAACTAAGCCCGTGTGCCACAGCTACTGAGCCTGCACTCTGGAGTCAGCAAGCCACAACTACGGAGCCCACGTGCCACAACTACTGAAGCCCGTGTGCCTAGAGCCCGTGCTCCGCAACAGGAGAAGCCACCACAATGAGAAGCCTGCGCACCGCAACGAACAGTAGCCCCCTCTCGCCGCAACTAGAGAAAGCCCACGCACAGCAACTAAGACCCACACGGCCAAAAATAAAAATAAATAAATTTATTTAAAAATAAAAAAACAAAGAGAATTCTCACCAGAAACAGAAAGCCAAGTAATAAGAAAGGGTTACTTTCTGGTTTGTTTACTGTTCTCCGGGTTTTAGTACTGACAGTTGAGCTTCCCAGCCTCTCATTAGTCAGCAGAGGGGTTTAGTGATGCTGTTTGAAAATAGGATGCCAGTACTGTTCTGTAAATACTATAAAGATCAACAAGCAAAAACCCAAAGCCTGGGAATTAAAGGATCTTGCTGCTAACAAGGAGCGGTCTGGCTGGGGCTGCTCCAGAAGGAGGAGAGATGGGGAAAAACCTGCTGGGCCGCCAGGGCATCTACAGTGCAGACAGGTCCTACCTCCTTGTCGCTGTACGAGATGTTTCGGATTTCGTTCCACGGGAAGGAGATCTTGGGGGTCAGCCTGTTCTCAGGGTCATAAATGTGAAGCCCCAAAGCATCCACTCCGAGCAGCAGCTCTGTGCCCTTTTTATTCTGTAGATTTGACAAAGAACAGCTACCATCACCTCCAGCTGAGGCTCAAGGTTTTATTCAACTTCCCAAAGAACCTGGCATAGACTGTTACATGTGACAAGTTTCAACAGGTCCCAACAGAAGTCACTGTTGTCCTAGAACCCAGGGGGCCTCCAGCTTCCTGAACTGGGGCAGGTGGAGGCAAAATGATACCATTCTTGTGACTCATGTGCCCCACGGAAGGATCACTGGGGGCTCCTGTCACTGGCTCGATGGCTAAAGTAGAGGTAATCGAAACACTGTTACCGCTAATTAAATAACTGGCTTATCATAGATGTAGAATAAAAACTTGTAGGATTAAACACTCTTATGTTAAAAGAAAAGGTTATTGTACTACCAGAAAGAAAACTCTAAGTGCTGGGATCAGATGGCCTTATTTTACATTAAAATGTAGTTTCAATGTGATTAAGCAAGTATAAAGTGTTAACTGTAGAATCCAGGCTGTGGGTATACATAGGTATGCACTGTAAAAGTCCTCCAACTTTCCTACATGTTGGAAATTTTTTACTACAAAATATCGGAAAAATATATCGAAATGAATTATATATAAATTGTACCCCAATAAAGCTGTGTAAAACTTTAATTGATAGACTGTACACAGGCTGTACCTCTGATGGCAGTCCGGCCAGCAGCCAGGGCACCCATAGGGCAAGCGCCCTGGGCCCCCATATCACTGACCAGTGTGCACCTGGAGGCCACCTCTTCGGGCTGCAGGCCCATCCCCCTGTGCTGCAGTCTGGTCCTCGAACGGCAGTGGGGGGAATCTCCCCACACCTGACCCCTTGCTGACAACAAGGAAATGGACCCAAGACTCCAGGGCAGGAAAAAAGGTCTGCAAACTGAGAAGGTGCCGGGACTGTGATGAGAAGTACAAGGCTAACAGCAGGCGTCAGGAGGAGGAGTGAGCATTCTGAGATACATCTTTTACTCGAGCTAACACCTGAAGTCAGATGTGATCACCAAACCAGGAGGGAGAGTCGTCTGCTCATCTGCAGGGCTCTTAAAACCACTGTGTTAACACAAGTGAGGCTTTGTGCTTTAAAAATCTATAGTACGTTTTGGAAAACAAGACGTTTCATTATGTTTCTAGCTTAAGTTTTTTAAAAAAATGGATTGCATCCTCTGTCTCCTATCATGAGGCTCCAACTGTTCTAGAGAATAAACAGAGAAGTGGGGACTCAAGCAGCCCCTTTTAAATTGTTTTAAGCACACATCTTCCTTAGGTGAGGGTGAAATTTCAGGAACTTTAACACAAGGACACTAAAATATCCATTAGCCTCATCTATCACGCAATACAAGACACACACGCACAAAATAGTATAATTTAGTCTGACTGCTGTAGAAATATTCCCTCATAAGAAGCTGGTTTTGAAGGGTTATAAAATACTAGTTTTCTAGAATGTAGGTGGTGGGGCAAGAGGAGTCATATGGACAAAACCACAGAAATGTGTCAAATGAGTCTTGACCTTAAAGAAACCAAACAATTAGCAAATACAAATTAATAAAACTTTAGAAAACAACCTTTGGCGTTATTAGGGAAAATCTTTTAGGCATTTGTATACTATACAAAAATGACATAATTTGTCAGCGTGCCTTATTTTATGCAAATGATCCATTAAAAATACGTATTTAGAAAACAAAGTAGAAAGCTATCCCTAGGATATTTTACATGTGTTTCAATTTACCTAAATTTAATACAAAATTTATGGAAACCCTGAAAAGGAAAGCAAGCCTTAACTATAATGATGGCTGTTTTACTGTCTACTCATCTACAGTTTGGAACCGGGAATGAAATACTTCAGCAAATCGCATGAACTCCTTTGGGAGGAGCTGCGACCAGCAGCAGAGCCTCAGGAGAAAGATGCTTGAAAGGCCGGACAGGGGCTGAAAACAAACGCTTCTCCGGTGCAGGAGCAGCGGGTTCCCAGAGGACAGCGGACTGTTAATGGTCTGCATAGAAAATCAATTAGCCTGCCAGGGAGAGTCCCCACCCAAACAAATCAGTAATCTGTAAAAGCAGCTTTACTCTCCTTGTGTCCTGGGGGAAGAAAGTATTTACAGGTGTTCCCTGTGGACCCGGATCTCACAGAGCCAGAGATAATCAAATGTTACACCAGAGCATTCAGACAGGTTTCTGCCCAGACAGAACCAGGCCCTCCCGGGCTCCACCGATACTTAATCACCTAGGATCTAATTTAAGTCCCAATATAGAAAATGAGGCTCTTAGACCCTCCCCTTCCTCTTCCCCTGAACTGTTGAATACCGCCCTGGGATGGGGAGGGACCCATTTTAACAGTCTGCCCTCGTTCAGTCTCCACCCACACACAGGGAACTCGCAGAGGCTTCTACACACCCGGATTGTAAAGTAGTTCACACCGTACATCTCCAGGTCCTGAGCTATCTTCAAATATTCCATTTCAGCTTCGTCCCTGCGAGGAGAATGAAAGACACCGTCACTGGCACGGAAATGAGAAATCTGGAGGGCGGCGCACACCGAGCTGAGCTTCGAAACTGTGGGAAGACGCGAGCCAGGCAGCTACCAGCCAAGCTCTGCCCGATCCCAAGTCTGTTAACCACACCACACAGAGGTGAAGCAGAATTTCCCATCCCCATGAAAACAAGAGAATAGATTCATTAGTGTCTCTTGGCTTCAATTTCACGCTTTACCCTTGGTAAACAGTGACATCCGGCTTGAGTGATTCAAGAAAAGCACATAGTACATCTCCCTCAAATGGATTTGTATGTTCTAACTTTACGTAAGCTGTTGCTTTATCTAATTGCGTACTTTCTTCACCTAGAAGGTTTTGGTAATGATGTATCTCTCTCTGCAAGCTACCTGAGAGCGGCCTTTCTGATTTTATTCCTTTGGGTGTTATTGGAGGTTAAGGCACCTTCCTGATTTTAATCCTTTGGATGTTGCTAGAGGTTAGGGCAAGAGCTATCCAGGCTGTCAAACCCAAGCCAGCTCACCCACTTCTAAGTTGTGAGTCAGACTTAAAGGAAGCTCTTGAAGTAGCAATGACTTGCAGAAAACTCCCAGATAGGTACAGTGTTGAAATATCTTAACTCAATTCTCCCTATGACTTTGCCTTCTTCCCTCTCTGCCATCTCAAAATGGTCTCAAATGAATTTAAAAAATTCAACCTGAGAGGATAAGCAGTGGCAAGCAGGTGGAGCAACTCGAAATCACACACGTTGTTGAGGTAAATTGATACAATTGCTTTGGAAAATTGTTTGATGTTATTTATAACAGCAAAAACCAGGAGACAATGGGACAACCTAAATGTCCATCAATAGTGGAATGGATAAATAATGTGTGGTCTATGAATACAGCAGAATTCTACACAGCAACAAAAATGGAAAAAACCACCGTTACAAGCCACAAACCGAAATCTCACAATATCATGCTGCATAAAAGAAGTGAGGCACAAATAACAGAAACTGTCTGATTGAACTTATACAATGTTTAAAACAGGCAACACTAATCCATGGAGTTGGATTCAGAAGAGTGGTTACCTCTGGGGAGGAGTGATCGGGGGCACGTGCTTTCTTGTCACCTGGTGTTACCTGGTGTTTTCACTTTATAAGAATCTATCAAGTGGTATATTTACGACTTGTCCACTTTTCGGTATACTTTTTTAAGAGTTAAAAACAACATGTGGGCTTCCCTGGTGGCGCAGTGGTTGAGAGTCCGCCTGCCGATGCAGGGGACGCGGGTTCATGCCCCGGTCCAGGAAGATCCCACATGCCGCAGAGCGGCTGGGCCCAGGAGCCATGGCGGCTGAGCCTGCGCGTCCGGAGCCTGTGCTCCGCAACGGGAGAGGCCACACAGTGAGAGGCCCGCGTACCGCAAAAAACAACAACAACAACAACATGTGATAGGAATTTGATTTGAAGAAGAGAAAAAAAATATTAAAGGCTAATGAAAAGATGATCAATTCCTAAAGTGATTGGGGAAATGCTAATTAATATTTAAGATACAAAATTTCATCTTTTAGATCACAAAAATTAGATTGGTTAAAAACCAGTGTTGGGGAGAGAATGGGGGGGAAGACTTTCACACACAGCCGATGGGCTTGTAAATAGGTACAACCTTTTCAGAGGGCAATTTGGAGGCACCTGTCAAGACGCGAAATGCTCACATCCTTTGCTTCAGCAACTCCTCTAAAGGATCTATCCTCAGAACTACTCATACAATTATATAATGATATCAGATTGTACACTGCAGAACATTCTGTAAAAGTGAAAGACCTATAGCTACTCCAAATACCATCAATAGAGGAATGGATGCAAAAGCTATGGGATATGCATATAATAGAACTTTTTTTTGAATTTTATTTTTTTATACAGCACATTCTTATTAGTTATTTTATACATATTAGTGAATGTATGTCAATCCCAATCTCCCAATTCATCCCACCACCACGCCCCCACCACTTTCCCCCCTTGGTGTCCATACATTTTTTCTCTACATCTGTGTCTCTATTTCTGCCCTGCAAACTGGTTCATCTGTACCATTTTTCTAGGTTCCACATGTATGCGTTAATATATGATAATTGTTTTTCTCTTTCTGACTTACTTCACTCTGTATGACAGTCTCTAGATCCATCCAGGTCTCTACAAATGACCCAATTTCGTTCCTTTTTATGACTGAGTATTCCATTGTATATATGTACCACATCTTCTTTATCCATTCATCTGTTGATGGGCATTTAGGTTGCTTCCATGACCTGGCTATTGTAAATAGTGCTGCAATGAACACTGCAGGGTGCATGTGTCTTTTTTTTTTTTTTTAATATTTATTTATTTTATTTTTTGGCTGCATTGGGTCCTCCTTGCTGCATGCGGGCTTTCTCTAGTTGCGGTGAGCGGGGGCTACTCTTCGTTGCAGTGCACAGGCTTCTCATTAGGGTGGCTTCTCTTGTTGCGGGGCATGGGCTCTAGGCGCACAGGCTTCAGTAGTTGTGGCACGTGGGCTCAGTAGTTGTGGCGCACGGGCTTAGTTGCTCTGCGGCATCTTCCTGGACCAGGGATTGAACCCATGTCCCCTGCATTGGCAGGCAGATTCTTAACCACTGAGCCACCAGGGAAGTCCCTGCATGTGTCTTTTTGAATGATGGTTTTGTCTGGGTATATGCCCAGTAGTGGGATTGCTGGGTCATATGGTAATTCTATTTTTAGTTTTTTAAGGAACCTCCATACTGTTCTCCATAGCGGCTCTATCAATTTACATTCCCACCAGCAGTGCAAGAGGGTTCCCTTTCCTCCACAGCCTCTCCAGCATTTGTTGTTTATAGATTTTCTGATGATGCCCTTTCTAACTGGTGTGAGGTGATACCTCATTGTAGTTTTGATTTGCATTTCTCTAATAATTAGTGATGTTGAGCAGCTTTTCATGTGCCTCTTGGCCATCTGTATGTTTTCTTTGGAGAAATGTCTATTTAGGCCTTCTGCCCATTTTTTGATTGGGTTGTTTGTTTTTTTTAATATTGAGCTGCATGAGCTGTTTATATATTTTGGAGATTAATCCTTTGTCCGTTGATTCATTTGCAAATACTTTCTCCCATTCTGAGGGTTGTCTTTTTGTCTTGTTTGTAGTTTCCTTTGCTTGGCAAAAGCTTTTAAGTTTCATTAGGTCCCATTTGTTTATTTTTGTTTTTATTTCCATTACTCTAGGAGGTGGATCAAAAATATCTTGCTGTGATATCTTGATGTCAAAGAGTGTTCTTCCTATGTTTTTCTCTAAGAGTTTTACAGTGTCTGGTCTTACATTTAGGTCTCTAATCCATTTTGAGTTTATTTTTGTGTATGGTGTTAGGGAGTGTTCTAATTTCATTCTTTTACATGTAGCTGTCCAGTTTTCCCAGCACCACTTATTGAAGAGACTGTCTTTTCTCCATTGTATATCCTTACCTCCTTTGTCATAGATTAGTTGACCATAGGTGTGTGGGTTTATCTCTGGACTTTCTATCCTGTTCCATGGATCTATATTTCTGTTTTTGTGCCAGTACCATATTGTCTTGATTACTGTACCTTTGTAGTACAGTCTGAAGTCAGGGAGTCTCATTCCTCCAGCTCCATTTTTTTCCCTCAAGACTGCTTTGGCTATTCAGGGTATTTTGTGTCCCCATACAAATTTTAAGATTTTTTGTTCTAGTTCTGTAAAAAATGCCAGTGGTAATTTGATAGGGATTGAATTGAAACTGTAGATTGCTTTGGGTAGTATAGTCATTTTCACAATATTGATTCTTCCAGTCCAAGAACATGGTATATCTCTCCATCTGTTTGTATCATCTTTAATTGCTTTCATCAGTGTCTTATAGTTTTCTGCATAGAGGTCTTCTGTCTCTCTAGGTAGGTTTATTCCTAGATATTTTATTCTTTTTGTTGCAATGGTAAATGGGAGTGTTTCCTAATTTCTCTTTCAGATTTTTCATCATTAGTGTATAGTAATGCAAGAGATTTCTGTGCATTAATTTTGTATCCTGGAATCTCATAGCGCTGGTCAGAAAAGATGCTCGATATGATTTCAATTTTCTTAAATTTACCAAGGCTTGATTTGTGACCCAAGATGTGATCTATCCTGGAGAATGTTCCAAGTGCACTTGAGAAGAAAGTGTAATCTGCTGGTTTTGGATGGAATGTCCTATAAATATCAGTTAAGTCCATCTTGTTTAATGTATTATTTAAAGCTTGTGTTTCCTTATTACTTATCTGTCTGGATGATCTGTCCATTGGTGTAAGTGAGGTGTTAAAGTCCCCCACTATTGTTGTGTTACTGTCGATTTCCTCTTTTATAGCTGTTAGTAGTTGCCTTATGTATTGAGGTGCTCCTATGTTGGGTGCATATATATTTGTAATTGTTATATCTTCTTCTTGGATTGATCCCTTGATCATTATGTAGTGTCCTTCCTTGTCTCTTGTAACATTCTTTATTTTAAAGTCTATTTTATCTGATATGAGTATTGCTACTCCAGCTTTCTTTTGATTTCCATTTGCATGGAATATCCTTTTCCATCCCCTCCCTTTCAGTCTGTATGTGTCCCTAGGTCTGAAGTGGGTCTCTTGTAGACAGTATATATATAGGTCTTGTTTTTGTATCCATTCAGCGAGCCTGTGTCTTTTGGCTGGAGCATTTAATACAGTCACGTTTAAGGTAATTATCGATATGTATGTCCCTATTACCATTTTCTTAATTGTTATGGGTTTGTTTTTGTAGGCCCTTTTCTTCTCTTGTGTTTCCCACTTAGAGAAGTTCCTTTAGCATTTGTTGTAGAGCTGGTTTGGTGGTACTGAATTCTCTTAGCTTTTGCTTGTCTGTAAAGATTTTGATTTCTCCGTCAAATCTGAACGAGATCCTTGCCGGGTAGAGTAATCTTGGTTGTAGGTTCTTCCCTTTCATCATTTTAAATATATTGTGCTACTCCCTTCTGGCCTGTAGAGTTTCTGTTGCGAAATCAGCTGTTAACCTTATGGGAGTTCCCTTGTACGTTGTCATTTTTCCCTTGTTGCTTTCAATAATTTTCTTTGTCTTTAATTTTTGACAATTTGATTACTATGTGTCTCGGCATGTTTCTCCTTGGGTTTATCCTGCCCGGGACTCTGCGCTTCCTCGACTTGAGTGGCTATTTCCTTTCCCATATTAGGGAAGTTTTCATCTATAATCTCTTCAAATATTTTCTAGGGTCCTTTTGCTCTCTCTTCTCCTTCTGGGATCCCTATAATGCGAATGTTGTTGCGTTTAATGTTGTCCCAGAGGTCTCTTAGGCTGTCTTCATTTCTTTCTTTCTCTCTTTATTTTATTTATTTACTTTTGGCTGCATTGGGTCTTTGTTGCTGCACATGGGCTTTCTCTAGTTGCAGTGAGCGGGGGCTACTCTTCGTTGCGGTGCGCGGGCTTCTCATTGCTATGGCTTCTCTTGTTGCAGAGCGCGGCCTTCAGTAGTTGTGGCTCATGGGCTCTAGAGCACAGGCTCAGTAGCTGTGGTGCATGGGCTTAGTTGCTCTGCGGCATGTGGGATCTTCCCAGACCAGGGCTCGAACCCATGTCCCCTGCCTGCATTGGCAGGTGGATTCTTAACCACTGCACCACCAGGGAAGCCTTGTCTTCATTTCTTTTCATTCTTTTTTCTTTATTCTGTTCCACGGCAGTGAATTCCACCATTCTGTCTTCCAGGTCACCTATCCATTCTTCTGCCTCAGTTATTCTGCTATTGATTCCTTCTAGTATATTTTTCATTTCAGTTATTGTATTCTTCATCTCTCTTTGTTTGTCCTTTAATTCATCTAGGTGTTTGTTCTTTAATTCTTCTAGGTCTTTGTTAAACATTTCTTGCATCTTCTCGATCTTTGCCTCCATTCTTTTTCTGAGGTCCTGGATCATCTTCACTATCATTATTATGAATTCTTTTTCTGGAAAGTTGCCTATCTCCACTTCATTTAGTTGTTTTTCTGGGGTTTTATGTTTTTCCTTCATCTGGTACGTAGTCCTCTGCCTTTTCATTTTGTCTATCTTTCTGTGAATGTGGTTTTCCTTCCACAGGCTGCAGAAATGTAGTTCTTCTTGCTTCTGCTGTCTGCCCTCTGGTGGATGAGGCTATCTAAGAGGTTTGTGCACGCTTCCTGATGGGAGGGACTCAATAGAATTCTTAAAATGAACATAAATTAGCACTGAATGCAGTAGGTCTGTACATCCTGACAGGCAGTAAGTACCCACGCCCCCACGCACCAGAAGAAGGACACACACAATACTGAAGACCAGCACTGCTGCCAGCTCTCCCTTTTTCTTCTATATACTTTGGTACTGCATTTTGTTCAACAAACACATCCCAGTTTTGTAGTTCCTTAAAAAAGAAAAAAAGGCCCATAAGGTAATATAAATCAGTGATGAAGCAGCCTCACCTGGCTCGGCCTCGGTGCTCTGCGTACCAGGCTGTGATTCTTTCCTCCCACATTTCTGGAGTCATTTGATACAGATTTATTACCTAGCAAAAAAGAGAGCAAAATAAAAAACCCACACACAAAGAAAGTTCTGGTATTGTTTGGTATTCTTATAATTATGCATCATTTTTACAAAACAGCAAAGCTATTTTTAAAAAGCCACATACAGGGAGCCAGTCACATGCAGAGGTGGGTGTATAAATAAGCACCGTTCAACCTGAGTCACAACTCGGAAAGCTGCACCATTTCTCAGGCCGCGGGGCTCCCCTCGCCTGGCAGCACGCCTCTTTCCTGGGCCATAGAGCCCAGGGGGAGGACCTTGCTCAGGAGCAGAGCTCACTAATTTCAGGCCAGCCGCGGGCCAGGCTGTACGTGCTGCTGCCTTTGCCTCTGCAGAAATCATCAGAGTAGCAGGTAGTCAGGGGAAGGTGAGGAGCAGACCTTTATCACACATGACAGGGGAGCGGAGCTATAAAATCAGAAGCAGCAAAAGGGAGGGAAGGACTGCTTCTGAGGCTAATGAACAAGACGAACACCACCAAGGATTAAAAGCTACAATGCCCCCCCGCCCCCCGACTCATCCCTATCCGCCCTGCCCGCACAGCTGCAAACAGCTCATTTCCCCAGGCTGAACTCAGGCTGCTCCACGCCCCTCCCTAGGAATCACTGAGCTCCCCCACCTTTAAAGAAAGGACCATCCGCAGGCCATGCCTGTCCTGGCAACCCCAAATGAATCCCACGAACCTTTGCTTTTTAATGTTCTTAACAGAGATCATTATTCGAGACTGATTACAAAACATTTATAAAAATGTTCTTGCCACCTACGTCCAATATTCCTTCCGGTCCTTTGGTTATGTCTTCCCAAACAGGGAATTTGACTTCTTACCCTTTTTGGAAGCAATTCCTCTTGGGCCAAAAATCCCCGCTTGTGAACAGAGGGGTCGTAGTCACCATACTGGAAGGAGAGGAAAAGGAGAGCGTGGGATTGAGATTCTAAAGACAACTGCATTTCTGAACAGGTCTACTCAGCCTCTGTCCCTCCCAGCTCCAGGGAGCAATTTAATTCTGATGACAAGTCAAGCTTGCAACCTTGCTAGTTGGATGAAAATACAAAACTGATTATATCTGTGAACAGAGTCGCATAATCCCGTAAGGGATGGATGGGTGACATGCTAATAAGAATGTGACATTTGTAGAGAAATGTGGCCAAGTCTTCTAACTCCTGAAGGAAGCCATCACTACCAAAACAGCTTTCGAAAGGAGACAACAAAACATAACTGTGTAAGTTGTGATTAGCAACCGGTGATAAGAGTCTTACCTATAAATGCTTCTAAGTGGCTGGTAATTGGAGCCAACTGATAGGTGGGAGCTGGGGATAATGCCAGCAATATTTTTAATACCTTTCAATCAAGGCTCTGAAAAATGCTTTGGAAAAATCTGATGCCAACACTGTCATTTCTATCGTACAGACAAAGAAATGAGTAAAATGTTAACAGATTTTCCTGAAGCTGCAGAGCAAATCACTCTGGGGCCTGCATTTTAATGTACTCACCAGGGACAATAACTTGAAGTTTATTTTCTGATTTCAAAACAAATACCCCTCCCTGCTCTGCAGCGGGAAGGCCACCACAATGAGAAACCTGCGCACCTCGTTGCAACTAGGGAGGGCCCGCGTGCAGCAATGAAGACACAACACAGCCAAAAATAAATAGAATGGATAAATTTATAAACAAACAAACAAACACCCCTTTCCTAGAAAGTTAGTCTGACCAGGAAATAATCAGAAATGAAGGAATTTTTTAAAAGAAACTAACCATAAAATATATAGAAGATCAAAGCCTGTCTCTTGTCAATCAGCATTCAGTGGCTTTTATTTTGACCCGAAACAACAAAGCTCAGTATTTTAGTATTATCTTCTATAAACATTTATCCTTTTTGCCACCAACATTGGAAAAACAAAAGAAAGGTCTGGCACAAGGCTGTTGGCTCTACATCCCAACAAATTAGGTGAGGACATGGCCTACCCTCATTCCTTTCAAAGAACCTTAAATTAGATTTCTGGTGAGTTTTCCAACAGACACTCATGAGATTGAAGAGATGTTCATCATCAACTGTAAATCATGACTTCTTCCCATACTACCCTTCTATAAAAGCCCCGAGGATTAATATCTCTTATGAATCTCATAATTACCTTGCAAATAACAGAATTGTAGTGCATGGTTTTTTCAGTTTAAAAAATTAACTGGTCAAACTTAAATACTTAACCCTGTCTATGCATTTCTTCACTTAAAAAACTTGAAGGAGGGACTTCCCTGGTGGTCCAGTGGTTAAGACAACACGCTTTCAATGCAGGGGGCATGGGTTTGATTCCTGGTTGGGGAACTAAGCTCCCACATGCTGTTTGGTGTGGCCAAAAAAATTAAAAAAAAAAAAAAATGAAGGAAACTGGTTTCTCTAGATCTCTGAAAGGCCAGGGGGGTGTAATAAGTCAGGAACTGTATGAGCTTTAACAGTACTCTCTGCGGAGAGTACAGGTAGGAGCCTGAAATTGGGGGGGAGGGGGAGGGCAGGGGAGGAGGAGGGGGAGGGGGAGGGGGTATGGGAGGCACGCTGCTTAAAGTTCAATTCCAGCTCCTTCACTTATTAGCTGTGACCTTAGAAATTTTGTGTCTGTTTTCTCATCTGTAAAATGGGAATAACAACAGTATTTCTCTTATAGGATTCTTGTGGGGATTAAATGAAATACCCAGAAATTTTTTTTTTTTAATTTTTTTGGCTGCACCATAAGGCATGCAGGATCTTAGTTCCCTAACCAGGGATCAAACCCTTGCCCCGTGCATTGGGATCGTGGAGTCTTAACCACTGGACCACCAGGGGAGTCCCGACCCATAAAAATTTTAAAACTATGATTAACACACAGCATTCAATACAACCTGATGTCAAAAGATTAAAAACTCAGGTCATGTCAACTCTCCAAGTCTGTTTCCTAATTTGTCAAACGAGAGCATTTGTCTTGGAGGATTTTGAAGCGGGGGGGGGGGGGGGGTCTCTGGGATCCCCTCAGGCCCCAAGTCAGGCACCCTCTCTCTAAACCTCAGCTTCCCCATCTGGAAAGCAAGGGTCAGAACAGTGCCTGCCTCCTGGGGGGTGACAAGAATGAAGACAGTCAAGTAAGCATTTTGCATGGTGCCCGGCTCATAATGAGCCAGGTATCACTGCCATCAGCTACGTTATTTATGATGACACTGGTTACTCTTTGCCTGTCAGATTCTTAAAGGGGGAGGATGATAAAGAAAGCCTTGTGAGTTGTACTTGGAAACCTCTCAACAGTGCTGACCAAACTCTAGTGCTGACCAAACTCTAGTGCTTTTGCAAGCAGATAGGCAAAATGAAAGCTGTAAATTCAGGCTCCAAAGGCTCGCAAGATTAATGATCCACATTGTCATACTGAGCTCCCAGCTACTTCATTAATCAAATGCTACATCTGAGCACTGGGGAGGTGGCAAAGACACTGCTGAAGGAACTTCTCCACTGGACTAATTCCACTTATAACATTAAAGCCACCTTGAGGTATGTGTCTGCTCTTAAATGTCTTTTTTTTTTTTTTTTTTTTTTGCGGTACGCGGGCCTCTCACTCTTGTGGCCCCTCCCGTTGCGGAGCACAGGCTCCGGACACGCAGGCTCAGCGGCCACGGCTCACGGGCCCAGCCGCTCCGCGGCATGTGGGATCTTCCCGGACCGGGGCACGAACCCGTGTCCCCCTGCATCGGCAGGCGGACTCTTAACCACTGCACCACCAGGGAAGCCCTTAAATGTCTTTTCAAGAAACAAAAGAAGAAAATCCTCAAGTTGTGGTGGCTGGTGAATATAAAAGAAAGTCAGACCACTCCATGGATGGAGATGGCTGTTCCTCCTCATTTTATGTACAGAGGCATCCCAATAACATAAGCAGGAGTGAATTTGCTGGGAAGCTAATGAGGCTTGGGTTTCAGGTCTCTGCACCTGCATGGGCCTGTACCTAATTTTATATTAATAATTTGGTGTTCTTGCATTAAAAGAACACCCTAAGTTATATAAGCTTCAGGGCCCACAAAACCTGGATCCACCCCTGATATAAACCAATTGAATTTAAATTCAAGAAGGGAGTTCACCTTTTAAAGGACTCTCAGAGTCACTTCTTAAACAGAGACAAATACTTTCCTCTGCTTATATGTATGAAAAATTAAACCAAATGCTCTGAATAGGATTTCACAAAACATAAAGGTCTAATCAATACATATATAGAATAAACAGTTAGATCCCAACCGCACACCAGTCACTAAATTCCAGATGGATTAAAGACTTAAACCTATAAATGAAAATCCATAAAAATACCAGAATAAAATATAGAAGAACATGTGTATATTAAGTTGGTGAAGGCATTCCAAAAGTCACTCAAAACATGAAAAGGACTGACATGTAAAAAAAGATAAAAGATTAATATCCATAATATATAGGTCCTATAACTCAATTAGAAAAAGACAAACAATAAAGTGGAAAAAACAGGCAAGTCATAAACACTTGATTCAGAGGAAAGAAATACAAATGGCCAATAAGTCTATGAAAATGATGCCCCAGTGGTAATCAAGGAAATGAAAACTTTAAAAAAATCTACTTTTTTGTCAAATTAGCAAAAATTTAAAAGGCTGATAGCAACCACTGTTGATGAGGATATGGAAAAACAGATATTCTCACCACTATTGGTAGAAGTTAAATTAGGAACTTTTGGAGAGCAATTTGGCCATAACTATTTAAATTTTTTTAGATAAAATTTACATAATAAAATTCACAATTTTAAGCATATAATTCAGTGGTTTTTAGTACTTTCAAAATGTTGTACAACCATCACCACTGTCTAATTCCAGAATATTTCCATCACCTCAAAAAGAAATCCCTTACCCATTAGCAGTAAGTCCTAACTTCCTCCTCCTGTCCCCTGACAACCACTCAACCTACCTTCTGTCTCCATGAATTTGCCTCATCTGGACACTTCATACAAATGGAATCATACAATATGTGGCCTTTCCTGTCTGTTTCTTTCGCTTAGCATTATTTAAACTTTAAATGTTCCTATCCTTCAACCCATTTATGCCATTTCTTGATATCTATCATAGACAAATGTTGTTCATATGTGCCCCAACAGGCGTACTTAAGGATGTTCACTGCACCCATTTAAGTAGAAAAGTAATAGAAAGAAAAACAAGCCTAAGTATCTACCAATAAAGATATATTTAAATAAACAACAAGGACCTACTGTATAGCACAGGGAACTATACTCAATATCTTACAATAACCTATAACGGAAAAGAATCTGAAAAAGAATATATACATATATGTATAACTCAATCACTTTGCTGGACACTTGAAACCAACACAACATTGTAAATTAACCATACTTCAATTAAAAAAAGAAAACAAAAACAAAACAACAAAAAAAGATATTTAAATAAACCACAGCCCCTCTGTTCTATGAAATACAGTTCAATAGTTAAAAAAACTGAGTATTTTAAGAACTCTCTTCTGACAGTTTTAAGTGAAAAGGGTGCGCTATGCAGGATTTCCTCTAGAGTGGCGGCCTAGGAGTGGGATTTCGGGGACTCGGGGAGGGGGTGTCTCCTCACTGACAGCCCCTACCATACCCATCACCCCACAGAGCTTATGCCAATTCACAGTCTCTTCCTGCATGGAAATGAGCTCAGAGCTTCTATTCTATTTATTTATTTATTTTACTTTTTTTTTTTTTTTAATTGAGGTTGATTTACAATGTTGTGTCAATTTTTTCTGTACAGCAAAGTGACTCAGTTATACATATATGTACATTCTTTTTCTTATTCTTTTCCATGATGGTTTGTCACAGGATATTGAATATAGTTCCCTGTGCTCTACAGTAGGACCTTGTTCTTTATCCATCCTATATTAATCCTTGTCAATCTCATGGGTTTGAAATGTTTCCTTATTGTTGCTTTAATTCTTCTTTTTCTTGATTACTAATAAGATTGAGCGTCTTTTTGTAGTTACAGATTCTTCTCATACTCTATAAATTGCCTGTTGTTTGTACCTTTTGCTCCCATTTTTCTGCTTTTTTCTTAGAAACCTTAGAGTTCTTTATATTCAGGGATATATCTGCAATTCTACTTCTAGAAATCTACCTTAAGGGGAAAAAGCTTTTGCACAGGTACACAAGGAAGCATATAAAAGAGTTCTCAGTAAAGCACTGCTTATAATAGGGAAACAGCAGAAACTAAACCTACCTCCTCCTCAGGAGGATAGAAAAATAAATTAGGCTTATTCATCAATGGCTACCATACAGCAGTTAGAATCAATGAGCTACATCGACAAGTACAACACAATACATATCAAAATTGACATTGAGCGAGAGAAAATACCCATTTGTAAAAGGATAAGCTCCCCAGAAAGGGGGATATGCAGAGGATAGTACCATTTATATCAACTTTTACCTCCTGGGTATTTTTTTCCCTGGATTATTTTAAAGTTAGTCTCCTCCCATCCAACTGACCACTGCCCAAGTTGGGAACCCCACAGCCTCAGCCAGATGACCACCACAGCCTTCTAACAGGTGTCCCTGTTTCCAAACTTGTCTTACTCCAATCTGTTCTTCACACAGCCACCAAAGGATCTGTCTAAAATATAAACCCTTCACTGGCTCTGCATTCCCCACAGGATAAAGTTAAGACCCTTTATAATCTGAACCCCAGCAGACCTCTCCAGCCTCAACTCTTGCCACTCTACCTATACTTTACATATACCCAACTTCTTAGTTGCCTTTTGGCACTCTGCCCCTAACTAGCATCAAAGAGCACTAGGAAACAACAAGCCTCCTCTCCCACCAGTCTTTTCTCTCTCTGAACACTAGGAATCTGCTGGCCAGCCCTGCAAGATTGGGGAATTACATACCATTCTTTCCCAAAGTCATTTTTAATAAGAACACATTTCAAACACCAAATTGTCAATATAAAATCCAACAGGTGGCTTAAGACGTTGCAAGATGGTTTGGTGTGTCACACGACTGGGCCAAAAAAACCAGCCTGTATTTCTGATTCAAAAATAACCTAAATGGGCTTCCCTGGTGGCGCAGTGGTTGAGAGTCCGCCTGCCGATGCAGGGGACACGGG